CAGATAAAGACATTGTATTTACTGTTAATGAACTAGGTAACTGGATGGATATACTGGATATTGACATATGGACTGAATGACACTTCTTAATCTCTGTGTGAATTAAATAATTATTTAAAACCACAAACAGTGTTTTTGTCTCCAGTGTGTGTATACTCTTGGGCCCAGCCTCTCTCTCACTTGGCTGCCTGGCTTGACTGCTGCTGTGCACTCTGCTTGGGGGTTTGTCCCCAAACACTAACATTGGTTATGGGCCCAGCAGTGAGCACAGTCTAACTAACCAGGTTATAGCAGTTAGAGGTGGGGTGAGTTGCACATTACTGTAAAGACAAACTGTTTGTTGAATAGTTATTTATCTGAAGAGCAATGGCACAAGTAAATTTGCCAAGTCTGTCCATGATATCCAGACTAGATGGAATAAACTATGTTTCATGGTCAATGAAATGTAGTTTACTTCTACGAAGAGAAGGTTTGTGGGATATAATTACAAACCCACCAGATGTATCTAACTTGGATCCTAATGATGAAGAGGATGCCAAAAAGATACAAGACTATGAACGAAAAAATGAGCAGGCTTTGTGCATCATAGGACTGACTCTCTCAGACCAGCAACTGATTCATATTCGTGGAGAGTTAAATGCTGCAAACTGCTGGGAGAATCTCAAGAAGATTTATGTTCGAGACAGTGTAGGAGCTCATATAAATCTTACACGGAAGCTGTTTAGAACACATCTTGAGAAAAATGGAGACATGTTAACTCATTTAAACTGTATGAAAAGCATTTTTCAAGAATTACAAGAAAAAGAGCTTATCTTTAATGAGTTGCAACAAGTATACATCATACTGTCTTCTTTGGATCGAAGCTATGATGATTTTGTGACTGCTTTAGAAGTATTGCCAAAAGACAGTTTATCAGTAACTGAGATTGCCAGCAGGCTATTAGAAGAAGCCAGAAGAAGGAGTGATCGTGACCAGCTGAGAGAAGATAAGCCTAATGAAGAGAAATTATCTTCAAAGCTTGAAAGAAACCAGCTATGTAAGGTAAAGCACCCGGAAGAAGAGAAGTTATCTTCGACGGCATACACAATTAAAAAGTGTTTTAATTGTGGAGGCAGAGGACATTTGGCAAGATTCTGCAGAAAAGGAAAATGCCAGAATGTAAAGAAGCCAAAGAAATCCTTTGAACTAGCCACGTTTAGCAACTGTGATGTGAAGAATGATTTATGGGTGGTGGACAGTGGAGCATCCCACTGCATCACGAGAGATAAGACAAAATTTATAAAAATGTCTACAAGCTCTCAACACATATCACTCGCGAATGGCTGGCACCTCAAGGCCAAGGGTGAAGGTATTGCATACTGTCCATGTTTAAACCAGAATATAAAAATGTTGTATGTACCACAGTTAAAGATGAACTTACTTTCTGTAAGAGTATTAGATAAACTAGGTTATGCAATTACATTTAAGAATAATAAGTGCATACTGGAAAAAGATAACAAAAAGGTAACTGCAGCTTTAAATGGAGCATTATATGTCTTACATGATAGTAAGAAAGGGGAGGCACAGACTGTATTTAACAATATAAAGCCTCATAATGAATGTATCCATTTATTGCATAGGCGTTTGGGGCATGTAAATTTTAAAATGCTAAAACGTACAGTAGAGTTATCTGAAGGAATAAGGTTAAAACCCTGTGATAAATATTTGCGTTGTAATGTCTGCTGTGAAGATAAGAGTAAAATATTGCCTGCAAATAGGCTAAATGGTTTCAAAACTAAAGAACCTTTAGAAGTAGTATTTGCAGACATTATAGGTCCAAAGAAACCCAGTATGGGGGGTGCTCGATATATACTGAGCATTATGAACCATTACTCTAGATATGGGTTTTGCTACCTAATGAAAAGCAAAACTGAAACATATCAACATTTCTTCAACTGGTTAAAGTTTGCAGAAAGAAAGACTAAATGGAAACTGATAACCCTGGTGACAGATAATGGTACGGAATTTGTTAACAGCAAATTTCAGAATAGATTAAAGATAGCTGGAATAGAGCACAAGAAATCTGCACCATACAGACCACAACATAACGCATTTATAGAGAGAAGAGGCCAAACACTACAGGCAATGGTTAGAACAATGTTAACTGATTCTGGATTACCTGATTCTTTGTGGGGGGAGGCCACAATGTGTGCTAATCACATATTGAACAACGTTGTTAACTCAACTACTGGTGAAATACCATTCACCATGTGGCATGGCAGGAAGCCTGATCTGAGTTACCTGCACACATTTGGTGCACCAGCATGGGTGCATATCCCTACACAACTCAGGCGTAAAGGGCAACACAGAGCTAAACAATTATTCTTCGTTGGTTACCAAGCTAGCCATAGGGCATATAGATTTTGGGAGAAAGGCACATCTAAGGTGTTATGTAGTGCCAATGCCCAATTTCTAGAGCACGTAGGATGGGATAAGTTAGAACAGGATAACAATAAAGAAGTGGTTATTGAATCCTATAGAAATCCCATTAATTATCCCTGTAACTTTAAAAATAAAGTAAAGAGAGAAATACAGGAAGACATTGTGCCCATAGAAGAAGAAATAGAACCAATAGCTGAGCAAGATGAGAAAAAGGAACAGGTAGTAACTCAAAAAAGTCCTCATACAAGCCCTGTAATTCCCAGAAGAACTACACGAATATCTAGACCGCCTGATAGATACCAGGCTAACACTGTGTGCCAGGTAAATAGAGTTCCATCTACTGTGGATGAGATTAAAAGGTATCCTTCTAAAGATAAGGAAAGTTGGTATGCAGCAATCAATAAGGAATTGAAATCCTTGAAGGATATGAAAGTATATGAAAATGTGAGATTACCTGTAAATATAAAACCCATTGGCTGCAAATGGATTTTTAAGATAAAAACTGATAAGGATGGAAAAATAATCCATAAGGCAAGATTAGTAGCCCAAGGTTTTAGACAAAGTGCAAATGACTATGATGAGGTATTTGCACCTAGTCTTAAAGCAGCAACATTAAGGGCAGCTTTAGTGTGGGCAGCAAGCAAGAAATATATAGTTAACCATTTAGATGTGGAAACTGCTTACTTGCATGCTCCACTAAGACATACTGTATATATGAAAAAGCCTAGTGAATTGAAAGGTGAAAATAATAATGATTGTTGGTTGTTAAAAAAGAGCCTTTATGGTCTTAAACAATCTGGCTATGAATGGAACCAGTATATTGTAAAGGAACTGAACAATATAGGGTTTAAAGCTGGTTTAGCCGATCCATGTCTATTTAAGAGGGAGACAAATGGGAAAATATCATTATTATTATTGTTCACTGATGATATTGCCTTGATTACTGAGACTAATGATGAAGCTAATAAAATAATAGCATCATTAGCCAAGAAAATAAAAATCAAGCAATTAGGGGAGATAAAGAGATATCTAGGTTTGAATATACTGAAAACACAGAAAGGTTTTAAGATATCTCAGGAAGATAAGATATCTAAATTGCTAATAGATTATAAGATGGAACTTTGTAAGCCTGCAAAGACTCCAATGAGTCAGGATATTTGCAAAATGGATACTCAAAGTCCCAAGTTTGATAAGGCAATATATCAATCTTTGATTGGTAGCTTATCATACATTAGCAATTGGTCAAGGCCAGATATAGCTTATAGTATTAATCAGCTGGCACGACATAATAATGATCCGCTTCAATGTCATTGGAATGCATTGAAGAGAATCTTAAGATATCTTAAAGGAACATTACACCATGCACTGTATATAGAACCAAAAGGTGATCTAATACTGAGTGCTTATGCAGATGCTAGTTTTGCATCAGAAAGAGACACAAGAAAGTCGACTTCAGGAACAGCCATAATGCTGGGTAAGACATTAATTGGTTGGAAGTCAATAAGACAACAGCATATAAGTTTGTCCACTATGGAGGCAGAATTCTCCTGTTTATCATTATTATGTACTGAGTTAATTATGTATAAACAAATGTTGAATGATATGGGTATAACTGTAAATTATCCTATAATTGTACATGAAGATAATCAGGCAGCAATTCAAATGGCCACAAATATTGCAGTAAAAACTAGGAGCAAGCATACAGATTTAAGGTATCTAAACGTTAGACAATCTGTACAGAGTAAAATGATACAGCTGGAGTACTGCATGTCGGAGGACAATATAGCTGATAATTTTACTAAAGCCCAAGGTGCCATTAAGCACCTAGAGAGTTGTGAAAAATATGGGTTAAGATTGTAAAGGTATTATATATTTATGTCACCCAAAAGGGGAGTATGTTGGGTATATGCATACACCAACTAGGTTTGGGTAAATAAATATATGAACCTAGGTTTAAGTGTTTGTAGCTTTAAGCACAAAAACTGCAATGTAATTTGATAATTAAGGGTGCGGTTGCAAGCTGCAATAATAGGCAGTGAGAGAGACGTAACACTTCCTGGTTGCTGATTCCTGGTTCCTGGTTACTGTTTTCTGGTTCCTGGTGTTACTGGTCGCTGGTCTGCTGGTCTCTCTGCTGTCTGCTGCCTGCTGTTTTACTCCTGTATGAGACGTCAGCTTGTTGGCTACTGTGCAAGATACCTTTTTTTCTACTGAACAAAAGGACTGTTTACTTAGTGAGCTGTGCATACTCAGCGTTGTCTTTGAGAGAAAGGTATCGGGAGGAGAAGATTTACAAGCAGATAAAGACATTGTATTTACTGTTAATGAACTAGGTAACTGGATGGATATACTGGATATTGACATATGGACTGAATGACACTTCTTAATCTCTGTGTGAATTAAATAACTATTTAAAACCACAAACAGTGTTTTTGTCTCCAGTGTGTGTATACTCTTGGGCCCAGCCTCTCTCTCACTTGGCTGCCTGGCTTGACTGCTGCTGTGCACTCTGCTTGGGGGTTTGTCCCCAAACACTAACACCCCACATTGCTCTTGACATGTCTTCTATTTTTGCTTAGTCCCTCCCTGAATCTAAATGTGTGGAGAGCTGCTATCTTGGTTTCTTCATGGTGCCTCAGGAAGGGGAGCCTCCTTGCTGCTATGACTGTCTTCCTTGCAGGGAAGGGACCATCTCCACTCAGGAAGGTTAGTGGCTTTGAAGGAGAAGTTCCCATAGTGGGAGGGGTCAGAGATTCTGAATCCTCAATTTTAGTGTTTCTTTGTCACCTTCCTTGTAGCAGTGGGATCGTACCTGTTCCACTACGAGTTCACACAGTTTACCACCCAACAGCTGAAGTCTGCAGCACCAATCAGTTGAGAGGATAAAGAAGAGAAAAGGTCAGAGGTGGGTGGGAGGGCCGATCCTGCGCTTTTCTTTTCTTTCTCCTCTCAGCTAATCATTGAAGGCTTTCCCCCCCTCCTCTCAGCTGATTGTCAGAGGCTTTTTTTTTACTACTGGTTCTGCTAACCAGTCTGAATTGGTAGCATATCAACATGGCTTCCTTGCCTTAAGATCCAGACTTGTAAGAAACCATCTGAGAGAAAGATGGCTCATCAGTCAAGTCCTCTTTTGCCTCTGATCATCTCTGCAAAATTTTTCTGAGGGTTAATAAGGAACTTTTTTAAAAAAAGGATTTATCTTTGTATATTCCATGCTGACTTTCTTTCTACAATTGTTCCATAAATTGAAAAGAGCATATTAAGAGAAAAGTGTCAAAAATACAGTCACACCAAGGGTGGGCTGATAGGGATTCGCAGGGGTTTGGGAGAGCCCCTAGCTAAGATTCTATGCAGTTTGTAGAACTTCCAAATCCTACTCCTGGCTGGCCCCACCCATGCCACCCCTCCCAGGAGTCCCCACATAGCCCATTTTGGATGTAGGTAGGTGCAGGGCGCATGCAGAGGCCCAGGGAGGGCAAAACTGGCTCTTTCAGAAATTCAGCAAGGCCATAAATAGACTTATTTCCAGCTTCCAGAGAGTCTCCAGAGCTCGGGGAGGCTGTTTTCACCCTCCTGAAGGCTCAAGGAAAGCCTCCGGAGCCAGGGGAGGGCAAAAATGCCCCTTACTGTGGTCCATGAGGCCAATAAGGCCATGCCTACCATGACCACACCCACCCACAACTAGCAGAGAACCCATTGCTAAAAGTTTTGGAGCCCACCCCTGAGACACACAAAAGAGAATGTTCTCAAGTACATATCCTAAAGATTTTCAGATAAAAAGTGTAAATGACATTGATTGGTGGGAAAAATATAAACAAATCAAAATTGAGGAAATAGATCAATCTGAAAGATGATGTCTTTTTGGAAGATAAGGGTGACCGAAGGAGGAAAAAAAAAAGCCAACATTGCAAAACATAGATAAACCATGGTTCTCTCGTCTCTCTTATTTGTAGATGCGGAAAAATGTACCAAATGCCCAGAGGATAAGCATCCAAATGAAAAACGAGATCAGTGTATCCCCAAGATCACAACCTTCCTAACTTACAAAGAGCTTCTGGGGAACATCTTGGCTTCCTTTGCCCTGATCTTGTCTTTAACCACCGTGCTTGTCTTAGCAATCTTCATTAGATACTTGGAAACTCCAATAGTCAAGGCCAACAACAGGGGCCTCTCTTACATCCTCCTCATTTCCCTATTGTTCTCCTTTCTGACTTGCTTTCTCTTCATTGGCCAGCCAAGGAAAGCCACTTGTCTTCTCCGTCAAACTGTTTTCAGCATTGTCTTCTCAACAGCTGTCTCTTCAGTCTTAGCCAAGACAATCACAGTAGTGTTGGCCTTCCTGGCCACAAAGCCAGGCAGCAACATGAGAAGGTGGCTGGGGAAGACTCTGGCCAACTCCCTGGTTCTTTCTTGTTCTGGGATTGAAATGCTCATTTGCTGTATCTGGTTAGGAGTCTCTCCTCCATTCCCTGACTCTGACTTTCATTCCCAGCCTCGAGAAATCATCCTGCAATGCAAGGAAGGGTCTGTTGCCCTGTTCTATGGATCCCTGGGCTACATGGGCATCCTGGCTGCCATCTGCTTCACAGTGGCTTTCCTGGCCAGGAATCTGCCTGGAGCCTTCAATGAAGCCAAGCTAATCACCTTCAGCATGCTGGTCTTCTGCAGTGTCTGGATCTCTTTTGTACCCACCTACCTGAGCACCAAGGGGAAATACATGGTGACTGTGCAGGTCTTCTCCATTTTGGCCTCCAGCACTGGGCTGTTGGGCTGCATCTTCATCCCCAAGTGCTATATTATTATCCTGAGGCCAGATCTTAACACAAAGGAGCAGCTTGTATTAAAAGTAAAATAAGAATTACACTGTTTTATAAATAACTTTGGTTTTGATTTCACATTCCCAAGAACTATGTTTACACACAATGTAAGCAATATCACTTTCGGATTATACGTGAATATAGTTTAAAGAGTATTAGAGTGATAAATGCAATAGAGTGTTATGGTACAACTATGAAAATAATAGTTATAATTATGAGAGACAATACTATTTATTTAAAAGAGACTATACTGTATGACTATGAGAATAATAGTTACAATCAAGGCGTATACTATGATGTATATTTAAAAAGGACTTGATATAGCCAGTACACTGCTGTTGCAAAATGGGAAATGTGATGAATAATAATGAAAAATGTACAATAATAAATAAATAAATAAATAAAAAGGAACTTGACACCCAAATATGCCGAATAACGAGTTTGAAGAACTGAGCTTATAACTGTTTACTATGAGTGCACTGTTTACTATTTTGTACTCACCTATCTGAGCACCAAGGGAAAATACATGGTGGTTGTGCAGGTGTTCTCCATCTTGGCCTCCAGTGCTGGGCTGTTGGGCTGCATCTTCATCCTCAAGTGCTATAGTATTATCCTGAGGCCAGATCATAACACAAAGGAGCAGCTTGTATTAAAAGTAAAATAACAGTGTGTGTGTGCGCACGCCTGTGTGTGTATACATTAGGATTCCTCATCACAAAACAATTTATTTTGGTATTTCATATTTTAAGAAATTCCACCTGCAACCTTTTTCTTATTACCCCAGGAAAAAATTATGGAATTGTGATAAAATTGCAGCAGAGGCTGAAAAATTCCTTTTTAAAATGATTTTTTTAAAACAAAAAAGTAGACCTTAAAATCTATTACACTGTTTTAAAAATACCTTTGGTTTTGATTTCACATTCCCAAGAATTATGTTTACACACAATGTAACCAATATCATGATAAGACTATACATGAATATAAACTGCTCAAAAAAATAAAGGGAACACAAAAATAAGACATCCTAGATCTGAATGAATGAAATATTCTTATTAAATACTTTGTTCAATACATAGTTTAATGTGCTGACAACAAAATCACACAAAAATTATCAATGGAAATCAAATTTAGCAACCCATGGAGGTCTGGATTTAGAGTTACACTCAAAATTAAAGTAGAAAAAAACACTACAGGCTGATCCAACTTTGATGTAATGTCCTTAAAGCAAGTCCAAATGAGGCTCAGTAGTGTGTGTAGCCTCCACGTGCCTGTGTGACCTTCCTACAATGCCTGGGCATGCTCCTGATGCGATGGTGGAGGCTTTTAGTGCAGCTTGGCTC